GGTGTGAAGACTGTTACCCAAGCTACACCATGCTTCAAGACAAAATTTCTTTGATTTATCATTAGAAATAAGCATTTCACAAGATTAAATTACATATTGTTTTTGTGATGAATTGCTATGCTTTAATGATATTCAATTTGCAACAATGAAAAAACATCCTGCATGTCATAAAAGTAGCAAAATTACAGTTATGAAGTAGCAATGAAAATAATTTTATGGTGGGGGTCACCACAACATGAGGAACTGTATTAAAGGGTCGCAGCATTAGGAATATTGAGAACCACGGCTCTAATATAAGATTTACAGTCTTGGAAACCTTATGCAGCAGCTCTACTTTGCCCGGAGGGGTTGCTAGCACTAGAATCAGTTGGATGGCAGTAGGTATACTGAAAGTAGGATGGGTTATGTCAGTGCCTTCTCTGCCCCTGTCACTGTGCACCTACTGCAAGCAGACTTCAGCTGACTCTCCTCCATTGCCAGGGGCCACTGACAGTCAGCTCCGATGGACTGTTCTCCATCCTCACCTCAGACTGCTCAACAGCACCTGGCACCTTCCTCCTTGAAAAGCATCGCAGTCAGAGGTGCTGTAGCTGCTGCTGCAGCTACTGCTGGTCTCGCTCTGGGACTTTCTTGCTCAACCTGGTCCGAGGGCTGTACTCTCAGCTCCCTCCCTGAATCCTCCCGCTGCCTGCCCTTCCTGGGTAATGGCATCATTTATGCTGTTTTTCATCTTTTATGCTGAATCACTCCCAGAGCTCTATGTCAAGCCCTACCCTGAATTCCTTAATTAAGGAATCCACCCTTGAAAATCCAAGAGGTCCCAAGTAAGACTCCCCTTTTGAAACCTGCTCCTGTTCTAAGTTTGTTCCTGGCACCCTCATCCCATCAAGTCACTAGGCCCTGTGAGTTATTAGAGTCTTCCCTTCCTTTCCAAGTCCCGGATGTGCCTTCTTTTTCTTCTGGGACATTTGCAACATCACTGAACTGAGTAATGCGCCATGTAGCATCCTTTTAAAGTGCAAAGCAATCATGTTACTTCCTTCCTTAAAAACTTCCTCGTGACATTCCTGCGTTTGAGGTTAAAGTTTATACTCTGCCTGGTATGGCCCCAAGGCTGTTCTCTGGTAGCACTCAACACAAGCTCCACTAGCACAAACAAAACATGTGGCCCTCAACTGAATTCCAACTCACAATAACGCCACAGAGCAGACTAGAAGGGCCCCATGGGGTCTCTTGGGCTGTAATCTTTCCACAAGAGTGGCTGGCGAGTTTGAACCACTGACCCTTTGGTTTGTAGGTGAACACTTAATCACTACAGCACCAAGACTCCTTCAAATTTCTCTAAACGCCAGTTTGCCCTCCCATCCCACACAACCCATTATGGGGCTTCAGGCTGCAGGATCACAGCTCTTCTGATTCAATCTCTCACGGTGTATTCAGCAAACACGTTGAATTCCTACCTTGCATTCAAACCAAAAATCAAACTCACTGCCACCTAGTCAATGCTTGACTCAGAGTGACCCCATGGGGCATGACAGAATTGCCCCAGTGAGTTTATGAGACTGTAACTCTTGGCAGAACTGGAAAACCTCATCTTTCTCCTGTGTGGAGCCCCTGGTAGTTTCAAACTGCTGACCTTGTGGTTAGCAGCCCAATGCATAACCACTATGCCACCAGGGCTCCTTCCCAAGATACTGATGAGCTAAAATGTTCCTTCCTGGGGAAGGTGTGAGACTGAGAGAGTGCCCATCACCAGTGCTGTGGAAGGAAGATGGGCTATCTAATCCCATTAGGAGTCACAGAAACACAAAGTGGGCATCAACTTGATGAGTTTGATTTGTTTTCTTGTTTTTGTTGGTGGTAGTACTTTGTTACAAAGTGCTCCCCTCTGTCTTATGACAGGGCTGTGTGACACTCCACTGCAAGGACACTGATTGAGAGGGCCTCCCCCCTTGCTTTGTGTGGCCACTCTAGATATTTAGAATGCTTTTTCTCTGTATTTCCTCTTTTAAACATGCACAAGCCCAGCAAAAAAAATCTAATCAAATACCGAAAGTCAGCATTTCTGAACACCTCTATCCCCAAATCACCCATGAGACCCTAAAGCAAAGTAAACCTGACTTCTTCTCTCAACTCTTGAGACTCCAGTGCTCTAACTGGGCTC